ATAAAAAGATTATATAATTTGAACTAATCAAGATTAACAATTTTATGTAATTATAAAAAATTTAAAGACATTACAGAAAACTTTGCAATATATAAGTATATTTTTTTAAAAAATTTTATTTATTGAAAATTTTACTATTATAAAAAATATATCTTATTCTATATTATATAAAATTTGATAAAAATTAATTGCAACAGTAAAAACTTTATTAGTAATAAAGTTTTATTTTTTATAAAAATCAAATTGTACTTCAAAGATCATATAAAAATAATCTATATACTCTTTACTTTTAAAGAAAACCAACTATATTTAAATATTTTAATATAATTTAAAATTTTAGTATACTAATTATTAAATATTAAAAATATTTTTACAAGCTCTAACTGATTTTAACTAACAATATTATCTATTTACAAGTAATTCAAATAAGATTTAATTACTAGACTATGTTTTAGTACTTAATTAATCTTTACTATTTTTATATAAAAAGTTATTTAACAGAAAGTAAGACATTAATAATATAATACCAAATAATTATATAATAATTCTTATTTTGTTATAATTTTTTAAAACAAGTGCATATATATAAATAATATTGTATTTATAAAAGGTAATTAAACTAAACTTATTTTATACATATTAATTAATTATTTAGATTTACTTTAAAAAAATAAATAGGATCAAGTTAATTAAAACCAAGCAAATATTTTTTAATTTAAATAAGAATAACTTAGCAAATACTTAATATATTTATTTAAATCAATTCTAAAAGTTTATAAATTGTTTTTTAAAAAAAATTAATTAAATTTGATTAAATTCTTATTAAGTTATTTTTGTTCAAAGTTATAAAAAAAATTTCTTATAAAAAATTTGCTTAATTTCTATTGTCTTACTTTAAATATTAGAAAAAAGTTTTTTTGATAATCTTTTTTTATATAAAATTTATAAAAAATAATGTATAAATTTAAAAAAAAATTATTATCTCTTTTTAATGATTATTTAAACCAAACTTTTCAAAAAGCCAAACTACAGAAAAATGATATAGTTAATATATTAAACTTTATAAAAACTTTTTTAGAATACTGTATACACATAGTTGAACATTGAAATAGAGTTGAAAAGAAGTTGCAGCTTTGTGGTAATGGTTTAAATGCACTTTGGAACTATAAAAAAAGTAGTTAGTGAAAGCCAAAGTTTTTTTTATAAAATAAACAACAAAGTTGAATATATTAGTTCTATACAACTGTAAAACCTACGAGGAATACCTATAAAGGTCAAGAACTCACAAAAACTACAAAGTTGGTTCACCTCTCACTTTTACTTTGCTTCGAAAAAATTTTGTAAAAGTGGGCAATTTAGCTTACCTCCTCCTAAAGATCGATATTTAAAACTACTAAAACAGTCAGCAGTATTTACTTCCTAAATAGGTTTATTAATTATGTAGATCAAAACAAGACAGTAATACAAATATAACTATATATGTGCCTCAAAATACTAAAAAACCTGAAAATACTGCCTCTAGACTAACTAGTGCTCTATACTAACCCTCTATGATCAAGTCAAAGATTTTTTTTTTTTTATATAGTTTTTTGTTAAATAATTTAAGTAAATAGAAAAATAGTAGAGTTATTTTTATTTAATATAGTTTATAATTTTTAAAGGCCTGACATAGGCATACAATTGTAACTGTCTGATATTTGTGAATTGCAAGTTTTACACATTTTCTTTTTTCTCATTTATTCCCTTTCCTTTTTTATTTTTTGATTTGTATCATTTATTGTTTACCTCTATACCTCTGTTTTGTTTTTTATATAAAAAATTCTTTTTTTTTGTTTTTTGCTTCCTTATAAAAAGATGTTATCAGATTGGTGATGTCCTATTGTAAGGTGGCAGTCAGACGAGCAGTTTATCTCTAACTGAGATAGTGAGGCAAGTCGTACTTAGGTACCATTTGGGTGGCCAGTTAATGCTAGACTTATATATTAGGAAATTTCTATGTAATATGTATAGTTTCAAGAATTCTAATAAAGTACTAGCATAACTCCTAAAGTTAAAAAAAAAAAAAAAAACCAAAAAAGTCTTCAAAATACTGTACTTCAAAGATATTTATTAAAAAGTAACTTTATTTAAAAATATTGTAATTTTATATAATAAGTAATAAATTTAGAATATTTATTTAGTTATTTTTTTTTTTTTAAAAATAAGATCATGCTTTTAGTTTTTTATTAATATATATATTGTTGTAGTTTATACAACTTTTTATATTATATATTATATATTACTCTATATAACTATATTAGATAAGAACTTAGACTAATTTATCTATAACCTAAACCTACCATAGTTGTTGTATTCTACTTACACCAAATCTGGATTTTTGCTTCACACTTAATAATATTAAGTAACTTGCATATTTTTCTTATGTCTCACCACCTATTTTGCAACAACTTTAAATTAGCCTGCCAGATTATTTGCATTTTATAAGCTACTATCTTTGGTTTGCCAGAATTGTTTAGCAGCTAACAGTATATCTTGCTGTAGTGGCTAACTTTCTGGTCCACTAGTACTGATTTTTTGTGACTACTACTGATTTTTGTCTTTTGGTTTTAGCATTATTATTGATAATTTATATATCTTAATTTGCCTTTTAAGTACTTTTTTTTATAGTATAGATAAAATTATATTTTAAGAAATTCTTTTTTAGCCATTGGCTGTCATAATATTTTTACTACTTTTAGTTATAAGTGTTTTAATCTAAATTGGAATAACATTTATATTAATGTATTTTATTTGATACATTATAGACTTTTATATAGATATAATCAGAGCTCTAGCTTAGTACTTTTAGATGTACAAGAAAGACTACATCTTCTATAGAATTTATAGTTATTTTTTATTAATAGGTGTTTCACAATGCCAGAGGTGCTTCTAATCTTAAAATAGCTAATTCTTTATTACAGATCTTTCTTGCATGCACTACTTTGCTTACCACTTTAGTTTGATTATTTTAGTATTATTCTTCTAATTAAGTATTCTACAAGTTAAATACAGTAATGTTAGTACTGTTCTGTTTCCAAAAAACTTATATGTGCAACCCTTTTGTATAATAGAACTTTCTATAATACTGCTGTTATATATAGTATTTATGTTTTGCAAAGTTAGTCTTCTTTCAGAAATTTTTGTTTTTTTGTTATATACTGTACTTGGTCTTTGTTAACAAGACTAAATGTTTAATTATTAGCACTCTTTTGAGTTACAAAAGCTAAAATTTTTTTAGATTTTGCCTTTAGCTAAACTTGAATTATCAACCTAGACTGTGAAATTATAAGAACTTATCTACTAAGTTATGAGACCTATACTCTATTTAGTTATTTTAAAATATTTATTGTAATAATTATTAAAAAAAATAAATAAATTTTGAATTATAATTAGCAAACAAATAATTCAAAAAATCATAATTATCAATCACAATTATTTAGTTCTGCATATTTAAAATTATCATATTTAACCAAAAATATCAAAGTACACAATTAAAGATTTCAATCAAGATGTTAAAATAAACAAAACTAAAATTTATATACTAACATCAAAATATACAAATTAAAGTTTCTATAGCTAATCAAAAATATTGAAGCATACAGATCAAAACTTCTTACAGTTTTCAGTTATAACTAATTTAACTAATCAAAATATTAAAATGCACAGATTCCAAAGTTCCACAACTTTTAATTTAATTTCAATTATGACAAATATAACTAATCAAATATATTAAAGTATACAAACCCAAAATTAAAGTATATAAATAGATAGAGAATGATGAGGAGATTAACTGTTATATTAAAAAAAATTAGATAATTTATTTTGACAATTGTCTAAATGTAGTAAAAAAACTTTTGGTTCTTTTATATAAGAAATTACTAAATAACTTGAGGAGTAGATTAATACTAATAATAAATCGCACAGTAAAATAGAACAAAAAATAAAATTGCATAAAGTAGAAAAAATACTTGTATCTTTTTCTAATAATAAATAGTAAATATATCATGCTTTATTTATCTAATTTTAGAGGTGCATCCCAACCTTTTCTTATCATTATATACAAAGAGTTCTCTTTTGCTTTAGTTAAATCAATTATAATAAATTCTTGACCTTGAAGATTTTTATTAAGTATATTAACAGCATTACATTAATTTTTTGTATATTGGCAAGTAATATTAACTAACTCAGTGCTTGCAGTTATTTTAAACTGTACAAATGATCTTCTGAAAGGCTTGTGTAATAATCAATCTCATATATCTTTACAAGTATATACTCACCTGACAGTAATCACTAAAATTTTGATTTTTACAATAGTCAAAACTAATTTTTAGCACTTTAGGTCTTAGTAAATAAAAATAAAATAAATAAAAAAACTTGTTTATGGCAATGCATTTCTAAACTGTATTCTAAACATTTATTGAAATTTATTGAGGTTATTTTCTGAGTTTTAAAGTATATAGAATTAAATTTTTATAGTAAAATTATTAAAGGTTCTTAAGAACTATTGTATTTAATTCAAAATTTTAATTTTATAAAAAATCTTATTTGGTATTTTAAAATTTTATATAATAAAACATTATAAAATTTATAAAATAGATGTATTATATTATATAAAACACACATATATATTTTTTATTAAGTTGTTTTAATATAAATTTTACAATGTTTTATTATATAAAATTTTAAGATACCAAAAATAAGATTTTTTTAAAAATTATAATTTGAATTAAATGCAATGGTACTTGAAAATCTTTAATAATTTTTCTATAAAAATTTAATCTTATATGCTCTAGAATTCAGAAAATAACCTCAATAAATTTTAATGAATGTTTATAATACAGTTCAAAAATGTATTAGTATAAACAAGTTTTATTTATTTTTTTTTTATTTTCATCTACTAAGACCTAAGTGCTAAAAATAACCTAAAAAATTTATTAAATTTTCTAAAATTCTCAAATTATATGCCAATTGTTATGTTAAACAACTTGCCTACTATGCAAGGACTGATTTATATATAAAAAATTTATGTTTTATATGATTACAATTATCATCTAATTAGGTTAGACCAACATGAAAATCAAAATTCTGGTGATCACTGTACAACTATAACTACATGTAATATCTTCCATCTATACAAAAATTGCTAACCTTGATTTAATACAAGAAGAAAAAAAATATTTATGTGTCTTATTCACTAATAAGCTTCTTATAAGAACTGAAGCAGAGAAAATTATTCCTACCTGTAACAACAATAAAGAGGTACTAGATTATTTGAAGGAAATTTTACAGCCTGGTATGTACACCTCTCCAAAAACATATTCACATTTTATAGGACCCATTGCTACCTGAGAGTCATAGTCAATGTAATATGATTTTTTTTATTAACCATTATATTAATAATATTGAATATTTCAAACTTACATTGCCTTCATTATCTCTATTCTAAATAGTCCAGCAATCAATACCTTCTCAAAATGCAATTGCTGTGGATTCAGTAATTAACGAACCATCACTTTCATCTGAAAGGATTGAGAAGCATTTTCAGGTAAGAATATATTATTCTGAATTCCTTTACCACTATGGTAATATTCAAATAAATTATTATTATGATCATTTTCACATCTGTCTAGGAATCTGAGAAATCTGAAAAAATTTACAAACTGCTAAAGCTATCGAAGAACCTAAAAAATCTACAAACTGTTGAAGCTATTGAAGAATTAAAAAAATCTGAAAATAATTTACAAACTGCTGAAGCTATCAAAAGACATATATTGGTAAGCTCCCTAATAATCTAGTTGATACCCACTTACCCGAAACTGCTTCTGTGCTCCTTCTGTTATTACAATAAAGATTTGTAAATATATTATTTATTAGTAAGATTCTCTTCTTTATAAGTATATCTTCATTTTTCATATCTTGGTAGAACTTTGGAACTGTCACTATACTAAATGGCCAAGCCTTAATGAGTATTCTAATAATTTACATGATGTTAGCAAAGATCGTATATACTATTTATTTAAAAAAAAATTGAAATATTATGCATGCTGTTTGCAAATGAGCATCCAGCTCATCTTCATCTTATATAACTGAAAAGCCAGCTAAAGATAATATATTGAGTAGAAAGAAATAGCCTGAGAACCAAATATTTTTGCAGGTCTTGTGCTTGTTGTCACGAGCGAGCCATGTGCTTGGGTGGAAAGTTCTCATTGATGAGTCAAAAATATTAAGTTTAGGCTCTTCCAAAGTGATATTGTGTCTAGTTAATATTTTAGTACAAAAGGTGGTATGCTTATGAGCGAAGTGTGTTTTTGTGAGATGGGGTGTGTCTTTGTCTAACTAAAATATAACATCTGGGCTGTTTCTTCTTTATAGGTTGTGCTTTGACATGTTCTAGTTATTGATTAACTAAACTTCAATCTTGATTTATCTCAGATATGCCAATCTTCAAGAATGATAAAGAGAACAACTAGGAAATGAGTAGCCAATACAACAAAACTACTTGCCAAAAAGGTGACTATAAAAAGGGAACTAGAAATTGAGGAGGTTAGAGTTTTGTTTTTTTTTTATTTTTTGGCAGTTAGATAATCAACTTATTTCGCAAAAATGTTCTAGGATTTTGTAATTGTCAATGGATATTGTCAGATCAATAAACATTATGACAATTTTCACAAAGCAAGTACACAATTAGTTAAGCATAAGCTATTGGCCAATAATGATTTTGATCATGAAAAAATAGAAGTAGAGGGTTTAAAAAGGTGTCAACAACAATGAAAAATTTGATCTCATGTAGGAAAAGAATTGGTTTAAAAATTAGAAAATTTTACTGTAAATAAACTTGTAGTGGTAAAATTATGATATATAACTTTTTTAGCATTTTATTAGTAAGACAACAATCAATTGTCATAATAAAGCATTTGCTCAATCTGGCAAAAGAATTTTTACATGATTATTTTATAAATAAGTTTGATCATTAATCATAAATCTGACTATACAGAGTTATTAAAACATTTTCTTTACATGATCATTATTTTTATATGAACGGAAAGACACAGACTTATTAGGTTTTTGTAACCAAGTACCCAAAAGTCATCATTATTTTTTTTAGTAATCTGAAAGTCCTTCTTGGCTATTGGATAAGTATATCATTTATCTACAAAAAATGCATATATAACTATACTCAAGATGATCTTTTTTGTACTCTATATATTAATACATTTTCTATCTTAAATTTAATAATGCTTATAAACAATATACTAAAAATGATTTAACAAAAATAAATTACATTTAAAGTTTTAACTCTGCTCAATAAGACTCAATTCTCACAGATACTCTGGAATAACTACATATGGGTTTTTGTAATACCAAATATATCTTAAAACAATCCAGTTTTCTTTGCATAATTCTTTCTTAAGTTGATACCATTTTTGCTGTTTGATGAAATTATTAAGATCTTCTTTATGAAAGAATTTGATATATTTTTCATGTTGTATCTGTACTTCAATAGCAAATCCATAATATGGATAATAAATATTTAGTTCTAATCCTATTGGATGCTCAGGTGTTTTCAAGAAATCTGATCTATGATTTTTAGATAGTGGGCAAAATACTTTGTTACAATTTCTTGACATAATTGTTTGTATTTATATTTATAACAAAATAGACACTAAGTATTACTTTTCACATTACTATGCTTATTATAAATGGTTTTCTTTATAACATCATGATAATGACAATTGATTATTTTTATACTTGATTGAAAAGTATTGTCTATATTTAGATAATACAATTTGCTTTGCATCATTAAAAGTTAATTTCATGCTATTTGCATAATATGGATATTAACTTTATTGTTGAATACCATTGAGAATAATTTCTCATTAATGATTATTTTTACAAATCCACTCTAATTTTGTTTGTGAATCATAGTATTGATCTGAGAAATAATTCTCATTTTTTATTTACATAAACTTACATATATTCATCATTAATTAATATTAACCAATATAAAATAAACACTACTGTTTTCTATTTTTAATATTATCAAATTTATTTTGTCATTGATAGTTGAATTGACATCTTTAGATAAGTGGATCATTTATATTTTTATATTTAGTAGAAAGACTAATGATAGGAAAAATGTATATTTAATAATAACATGCATATAAAAAGTTTATGTATATAATATTGTATGATAAAAAAAAGGACAAAAAAAAGAAAAATTGATCAAGAGGAAAGAAATTTTGATGGAATAAAATATATATGAAATGAAATCATATATATGAATGCACATTAATGTACATGTTTTCACAATTAGCTTTGTGTCCTCAAGAATTAATTTTATGTTATCTGTATAATATGAATATCATGTTCTAGAGTTTTTTAGTTTAGTAAATAGAGTGATTTAAATATAATCTTGATGACATTTCCATGTTATTAGAATATTTAAATTTTTATATGTAATTGAAAGACATTTGTCATTTTAGCTAAATATAATTTGTTTGGCATCTTTAAGAATAAGACAAGAATTATCTGTACAATATAGTCACTACTTATCACTTTTCATATTTTTAATAAATGCATGTCATAAATAATTTTTTTACAATGTTATAATAATAGTAATTGATTATTTTTATGCTCAATTTAAAGATATTCCTCATGTTTAGATAATGTGATTTCTTTAATATTCTTAAGAGTTAGTTTTATAGTACTTGTGTAATATGTACATCATTATCTGAAATTTTTAACTCTATAAAATGAGACATTCTATATATAATTCTTATAACAATACTATATTAACAGAGTTTTATTATCTTTATATTTAGTTGAATGATATTTACTGGTATAAGATTTAGTAATAGCATAAGCATCATTTAAAGATAATTTTTTTATTACAAACAAAAGGTTTATTAGTTCTTAAATCTTGCTTTAATTTTCTAATTTCAAAGAAGTATTCCAATTGAGTCTAATTGCTAATGAATTTTCTATTGTTTTAGTAAAAACAAAAACTATAAAATTTTGATTTGCAAATGTTTATCAATAATCTTAAATACTTTTTTTGAATTATTTGTATATTGATATATAATTCTGCTAATATTGTCTCTAGATTTTAAGTTTTGGAATAAAGCTAAATACAAAATATTTTTATGAATTATTTTTATAGATGTTTGTATATATTTCTGTAATATATATATTGATAAGATATTTTGGTATTAGCTACTAATGAAGTAGGAAATAATTTATTTTGTATTTTCTTTGATATAATATATAGATCCTTAAATATAACAACTTTACTTTGATCTGATAAGAATTTAGTTATATCTGAAATTTTATCTGGAATTATTTTTCTAAATATGACATCTTTTTAATACAGTTAAAGGTATTTATAAAAATTCAAAAGTTATTGATACAAGTTGCTATTTAGGTTTAAAATGTTTGTCTATTAATATAAGATCATTATTTTTGATATAATGATTTTATTATTTATTTTTAAATATTTGTTATAGTTTGTTATCTAGCATAAGATTAATAATTATATTTGTTTTCTTACTATTAGAGTCATCTGTCATAGGAAGTCTAAAAAGTCAGTTAGGGGCATATTTGTTAAATTTTATTTATTTTGAATATTTGTTAAATGTCTTATCAATATTGTATACAAATATGAGTATATATTTATCTATTATTTTAACTATGATAACAATATTTATTCTTTATACAATAAATAACCTTTCTTATGTAATTTGCTTTTTATATAGAAAAATAAATTATAATTAAACAGAATACAAATAAGATTTATATCTTATCTTTTGCATATCTTATATTTTTCAATTATAACTTTTTTGTATATTTAGCTCAACCTTACCATTGGGGTAAAAGTATTTTAGAACAATATAAAAATGTTGGATAACTTGAAATTCAAATGCTAACTTTAGCTCTTTATTATATCTGTTTAATTGTATTCTATCTAAAAACCTAGTTTTGCATAATGGAAATTTCTTATTTAACAGATTTTCAAAAATATATTTTACATTTCTTTCAGTAGTATGATAACATAAGGAGTATAATTTAATTTTGTAATTATTAGTAAATATGAATATTTTTACTAATGTTTTCAATTTTAATAATATCAGAAATATATATTAAAATTATTTATTTAGCTAGTTTTACCAAAATATTTTCTGTTATATTTCTTTGTATATTCTTTAGTCTTGGCTATTTTATTAATAATATGAATAAAATTAACAAATCTAAAATAAGTATTTTCTTTTAATATACTCTGAAGTAAATACTAAAATGCATTAATATTTATATATAAAATTTTTTTTCTTACAAATCCCACTTTAGTGTAAACTTATCATCTTCTAAGTAATATAAAATAGGCTTATTTTTTATTACAAAAATTTTTCAAATTTTATAAATATTTGTACTAAATATGGAATCTGTTGTGTGTTTCTGATTTTCTATACTGCCTTCCTATTTAGCATTAGTAAGTAAATATCAAACAATATTAACTTTATTTAACTTTATTTTATTATTTTTAACTGATTGCATATATTTTGCATATGTTTTAGATTTAGCTCTTTCTAATCTGATTGCTATTGCTAAAGCTAAACTCTATTTTAATAAATCTGAAGCTTGAATAAAACATATCAGATAATTATTTAGATAATTAATTACTTCTGGCAAATATGTAACTTACTTTCTTATTAATTTAGAATTTAAAGTTATATTTTCAATAATATATTGAAATTTATATAGTATTTCTGTTAGAGTTTTATTAAATAATTTACAATTGCTATAATAATTGATACCAATAACTTATATTATTACATTATGCTCTTGCATCAACCAACTTAACAATTTTTTAAACTCTAATTTGTTATCACATTGTAATAAATTAGATCAGATAAGAGAAATATTTAGGTTATTATAATGTCTTGGCTACTTTTAAACTATTTTTTGAAGTTAAAGATATAGAATATTTGTATCTACTGAAATATCTATAATATTAAAAACCTATTTAAATATTTTTTTATATACTTTATTATTAGTAAAATGTAAAAGATCACATTGGTGCATATAGTTTAGATATAAAATTTTATTATAACCAACTCTTGGAATATCTTTTAGCAATAAAGCATATTTTTGTTATTTATTCTAATTATATAACTATTTACAAACTTTTTTATATAGAAATTATATTCTTTATCTTTAATAGCATTATATATTTTATTTTATTTTATTTTTTTTTTTTACCTTTGGCAGCCATGATGGTCAACCAGTCAGAAGTTTATTTATAAATGTTTAGTACAGACAATATACAAATAGAACTATATCTAACTCCATGTGCTATTATCACATGGTTACCCCAATTGGCACCTATGAGCAACCTGCTGCACCAGACCTGCTAAAGTCTGGATCAAGCTTATCTGTCTGCCACTCTACAATTAAACAGCACCAATCTGATACCATTTATTCATAGGGAGGTAAAAAACAAAAAAAAATTTTTTTTTCTTGTTGAAAAGGAATGCACTAAAAAAAAAAGTATATAGGAGAGAAATGTAAAAAAACAAATATCAAGAAATAAAAAAAAAGAGGATTGCTGATGAAGGCTAGACAAATAGTACTAATTATAAAGGCTATGTTAGCTTATTAAAAATTATATGTTACTAAATATAGTAATCTCTACTTTAACTTGATCTAATTAACATATTTATACTAAAGCTTATATTCTAAGAAAAACAATTCAAACAAAACTGAACAGTAGAGAATTTTCCATGTGCTGGACATCCTGACTCATTGTCACTGGATTCATCTTCATGTACAATTTATCATAATTTTTACCAGATCTTATATTTCAACACTTGTCTTATTTTTGACCAATCATTTCATCTTTGCTGAAAATCTCCAATTTCATCTTATTGGTGTGTTTTCCCAAGACACATATACTTGTGCTTTATCTGCAACATGGACCTTTCTAAATAGAACTGATAAACAATCCTGATTTGAAAGGATCAACAATGCCAATTTCGATAGGGGTAAACTAGATTGCCCACTTTTTGATAAAAATTTCTTAAAAAAAAGTGGAAAAGGAATTTTTATAACACCAACTATAATGAGTATAGGAGTTTATATTATATAAAATAGCATATTTAACCAAGCTTCTATCTTTGCTACTGCTCAGATATAGCTTAACAAAACTTTCTTGGTTGTAGCCAAAGTTATTTTTTCAATAACTCTATAGACTTCTACCAGAGAGCCAAACCTACAAGAAGCTGTCTTTTTCAACTCTTTTTTATATAGTTTACATGCAATCTGAAACTCTTGAACTCAGATACTATATAGCAAATTTTTGTTATATATAAACATACTAACTATATAATTTTCATAGGTTAGTATGTGTGAAAAAATTAGTGCAAAGAATTATCAGAAAGAGTTTATTCATAATTGAATAGCATTATATAGCTTTTGAAAATTAGAATAATAACTAGTAAATTAATAATAAAACATGTTCAAAACAATTTGCAATTTCTTATTTGAATTGATTCTAATAATAGCTTGCTTAGTTTATTTATTTTATATACTACTCATATAATAAAAATTATATATAGCTAAGTTGGAGTTAAGTTAA